ACATTATTTTTATTTTTCTGTTACTTTGTTTCTCTCAAGCCGTTGTTGCACCTATGGAGTTCTTCTTTTTTGTTTCCCTTACTAGACTACTACAGACGACTACTACTGCCATCTCCATCACCATGTGGTTTCTTCATTCAAATCTTGCTATGTTGTGCGCGCTCGACTTGCGGGGGAGTGTTATGAAGTTACAATAGTATTTCAGTTACAATAGTTAATCCTACTAATGATAGGAAATGGTTAGTTGTCGGTTACGTTGTTATTAGGCCATAACTCCATATTTATGTTTGTGATAATGATTTGTTGTAACTGTAGATTATTCTCTGCAGACTTTATATATATTGTATAATGATCATATGAATAATACAAGGGAAAATCAGTTTCTACAATATAGTTCCAAGTTTAAAGGATTTTTTTTTTACCAAAACAAGTTTAAAGGATTTGAGTATTGATAAAAATCTGCCTTGTTATTAGAATCACTATTTTGCAGTTGCTTGGAGGTTTGCCAAGTTGACACTTCCAAATTCTGAAATACTCTCAAGCTCCAAATTCTGAAATATTCTCACAAAGAAACTAGTGCAAATGTTAAAGGGCCTTTTTTGTTGGGTCATAAAATGTTCAAGGGGCTTTAGGAGGTTGGATATTTGAAAATGAAAATGGTGGGCTTTACTATTGGATTGAAGACAAAATTAATAATTTTTAACATTGGGATTTTGGGGGGATTTTATCAGGGACAAGGTACCTTCTCTGTTTGCGATTGAGAATGTAGACTACTTGGTTAGTTTGAAGATCGAACCCTTATGTGTAGAGGACTCACCTAAATTCTAATCCCTTAGCGCATAATCGGTTTTTTAATACTTATATTTGTTCTCTTATCCATGAATTCCTATCGTTGATTATATAAAAAACAACTGCTGCTAGCAACATAAACCAAATAATGAATTAATTTGCAGTGTGTACCTTAGGCCTTCATGTTTCTTTAGCTCACTCCAAAAATAGGACCTTATGGTTATGATACTGTTTTCTTCTCTTCATATGATATTGTCCGTTTATATATTTCCAATTTCGAGTCAAGTTGAAGCGCCCGTTTCCCTTCATTCATAGAAAGAAAGACCACGTGCCCAATCCAACGACTCCAAACCTGTCCAACGTGGTGTTCTGCCTTGCCTCGTGTGGCAGCCGCGCTAATTGATTCTTTAAATTTGTCAAAGTCCACGTTTTATATGCGTGTAACAACCCACATTACCTAGAACGAAATATACCAACTATTTTTGTCTTTTCAATTCAAGGATGGAGTAGTTAAACATCAAATTCTTGATTTTTTTTTAATTTTTTTTTTATGTATTGTAAGTCATCCAAAACGACATCTATTGTTACTAAGTTAATGGTGAATCGTCTTTACTGCCATGATGGCATCTCCTAATTAAAACTTGTACCATGCAACGTGAGGTCAACACTTATATTCTATGATGCTTCTAGTCCCTTCCCCATCGCAAAGGCAACATAAACACATGAAAAATAAAGATTAAAAAATAAAAACATAATTTTACAGTAAATCTAAATCATCAGTCGAAGCCAATAAGAGTTGGTTCAGTTGGAAAGGTCCTTGCACTGTGTGTAGCACCACTAGTGTTTCAGTTCAACTATCAGTAGTCCTCATTATAGATTGTGGATCTACCATGACGCTGGTGATGAAAACAACCAATCTCACCCTAAACATTTTTTCATTAAAAAAAAAAAAAAAAATCATCGGCCGAACTACTTTGAAAATTAGACCGCAGGAGGAGGTAGGTATCTAATTAACTTAAAATTAAGTGACAAACAAGTAAAGTAACCGGTTGGAAAATGGTGGAACGTTCCCAAAATTCTATAATGGGTCACCGACATTTTTCTGCGGGGACCAGTGGGTCAATTCTTATTTTAGGAAACAATTTATTAATTTTGACAAAAAATAAAAAGGAATCAATTTATGAATTGTATCTTCCGTTTAGGAAAGAATTGAGCAGTTGGCACCCCTTTATGGTAATAAATAAATATATTTATTGAAATGTGTCTCTTAAACCGCGTCAACGGCCTGTGACGTGATGTGATTTCAATTGTTTCCTCAACTAACAAATATTCGTTTCATCAAAATAAGTCTTTTGCGTACATCCAGAGGCTCATGCCCAAGCCAGAAACAGTCACCATCAACGTCAGTCAAGCCTAAAATAATTTTCAAACGCGAGATTGTCGCCT